TTAAAATGGGATACCTCAACATTTAAATCCAAAGTACCAGTAGAGATGCAGAAAGAAATTGCTTTCAGGCAATATCTATGAATTGAAAAGTTCACTCGTGGATAATAAACTGCACTTTTGATTAAGATGATCAGAAGAGCAAGTACAGCCCTAGCAAACTGTCCCACCGTGAGCTCTCACTTTAGATCCCTCCTTTGTGCTTTAATAGCATATTAAAGACGAATATCACTTTTTGGAGCAATTTAGAGAAAGTCGTTTCAAAGTTAATGATCAGACGCCCCATTTTTAACACGCTTATTTCAATATCCCCAAAAAAGCCACTTTATGACAGCTATACATGGCAATTAATTGGTTTATTGAACCCACTTCTGAATCTGAAATAAGGCCCGTGTTTGAGATTAATTAGAGTAACCTTTCTGCTGCAGATAAAGGGATGAGAAGATGCTTTTTACAGTCTCCTCAAAATGGAAATCTAGTCGGAGAAGGACATGGACATCTTTATAGACCCATCTAAAATAGTTTTGTATCGGTTATATCAGTCCTAGATCACTTTAGTTGGGCATGTTTTGGCTAAATGGCTTTCCTACAGAATACAGGAACATTATCATTTCACCTTTCTATCAAGGTTCCTATCGATGTGAGTAGATGTTGTTGTTTCTTACAATCGAAATATACACTACAGTTGTTTATTTATTTCCACATTATTTGTTGTAAGAAAATCTTCTCAAATATAATATAAAATGCGACAACAGCTATGAACAGCTACTGGATTGAAACACTTTACGATGCCTGACTGTGCCAAATTCAGTAGATTGCACTCATATTCCATCACTGCAGCCCTGGGGAACAAGAGGCTGACTTGTGAATAGAAATTGTCCCATTGCCTCAAGGTGATTACACAATATTGTATCAGTGACAAAGTCTACTGTGCCTCAGTAGCAAGGTACAACAGTTTTACTGTCACTGTAAGAGCTTTTTATATTTAGAATTTACTAATCATAATAGTTTGTGGCTCTTTAGAGTGTGTGTATGTGTTGTAATGTTTTCTGTAATTCTTACTTTAAGTGTCTTCCTCATCAGACCCAAGTCCATAAGGCTCTATGTGATGAACTGTATCAAGTGGCTGCTAAAGCTGAATCAACAATCTGGAAGACAGTGATTGAAGAACCAGGGTTTGGTTACTGCTGCTTTGATGAGTGGATGGGTTGCAGGTGTGCAGCTTGGAACAGGTGAATCAACTTAACAGCAATCAGGAAAACACGAGAGGAAAAGAGAAGGCCACACACAAACACACATACACAATCACACACACTTCATTGATATTTTTTTTTGAATCAGTGTTGAAACAGCTGAAATGTTCTATCCTTTTGTATTTCCAAGACATTCATTTTTGATAAAAGCTAGTGCTTGCTAGATAACATGGTTTAGAAATCCAGTGGGGAACGTTCATGACAGTGCGTTTTTACATAATTTTCATTGCTCAGAGAATTACATGTTTGCATTGGTGGGTTTAAAAAAATGTTTTGTCAGGTTTAAAATAATTGAATATAACTATAGTCTAGAAATTAAAAGCTAAATAAGGGACAGGATTTTACATTTATTTAAACCTGCATTACAGAACATGCCCACTAAGGGGCAGATGGGCACCAAACAGACAACTAATAATGGTAATGTTAATGTAAGATTTGTTTCAGTTTTCGTCTGATTTGTTTTAATTCACAAACTTTATGGATGTTTAGCCTCCTTTTGTCTTTTTATTAATTTTTTTCTTTTGTTTGTAATCATATTGCGTCTATTTATATTCTTTAAAATGTTTCTTTTTGGTTGTTTAACAATTGTTATAGTCATTGTGAGTCACTTTGTTTCCCTTTGCAGTTGTTGTACATCTCTTTGTAGTTGTTTGTGTTTCTCTGTAGTCATTTAATTTAACTTTGTAGTCTATTTATGTCAATTTGTGGGCAATTTTTAGTCTCTTCATGGTTGGTAAGTGTCTCTTTGACATTTTGAGCCACTGGCTTTGCGCCCTTCAGTAATCTATTCACTGATAATATGACTGGTAAGGTAAATGAATGTTCCCTTTTGGTATGCCATTGTCATTGGGATTAATGTGTTTTGTATACATCTTAAAAGATCAACAATTTAAAATTTAAAATTTAAATATATTTATTTGCTGATTTTCTGTGTAACATTGTTACTTTTTCCTTTTATACACAAAGAATATGTTATACAAATATAAACAATGTGGGTCAGTTGCCAGTCCCTACTCTCATCAGTGGGTGTCAGTATTGCTCGAGAGATGGGGTGTTTCTCAATGTCGAGGACGCTTGCTTGGTAGCCAGTGGCGGTTCTAGACCAATTTGACTGGGGGGGCCAGGCTGGGGCCAGTTATTTTCTGAGGGGGGCACAATAAATGCAGGACGAAAAAGACAAAGACAGTATGAAGTAATTGCGCATAAGAACACAATGCAATATAGTTATTTGTATTTGTTTCATTACACATTATTATATGCTTACCTTTGTGTGCTGTTTGGGTCTGTGGGACCTGTTTTCAGTGTTTACTAAAAGAAAATGTATGCCATTTAATTATTTTAACCTGCTTTATTTGGGGATGGACCTCACATCATCTAAGGGGGTCCGGGGGCATGCACCCCCGGGAAGATTTGTTTTTTTTAAATGTTGAAGTTAAAAGCATCAATCTGGTATACTTTGAACACAACATTAATGTATGGATACAGCTCTCAACACTCATGAAAGGGAGCTGTATACTTTTCAATAATCCAAAAATCTTTAGAATATGATCACAACCAATAACAAATCATTTAAAGTTGTTTATTCTTATCTTATGTTACCTAGTTAGCCTTCTTTCTTTTTATTTATGTATATTTGACTAGTAACTCCCCTTTTAAACTGTTTTTTGTTTTTTTTACTGTCCTATAGTACACATTGGAATGATTTATTACTTAATTCTTTACAAATATATTAAATAGATAAAGGTGTGCTCGCTCACAGAGGCTGTGTGCTCCTCCGTAGCGATGACGGCTTGCGTTAAAAAAAAACGTGTTGGAGATTCCTGCTCTAATGGGTCAGACTAGAATGAAAATTATCTTTAGTTCCGCCTATTACGTCAGCCAGGAAATCGTTTAATCATAAACTTTTTTTTCATTTTCAGGGGGGCCACAGGGGGGTCCAAAGTCAGTGTCACTGGCCCCCCCATAGAACCGCCCCTGTTGGTAGCACATGTCTTCCGAGTCACTTGCTTCAGAAGCGAGGCAAGAATCCTTCTTAGCCTCGGAAAACAAAGAATTGTGGAACAGGCTAACAGGCTAACAGGTGTGCGTCATATGTGAGGCCCCGCCTTAAATGGAGCGCTATTTCCGCCAAAGATTTGGAAATTGGTCCGTGTGCAAAGCATTGTGGGGATTTTAAGACCGCGGAGTCTACACATGTGCAGCCTCGAAATGTCTCGCTACGAAGTACGCCGGCCTCGGTAGAATTCCAAGTATGTTGGACATTGGAACAGTCCTTCGGCGGCACTCGATGACGTAGTATGCTTGAAATAGTGGCTCTGGAGCAGCCTTCCTCGACATTGAGAAACACCCATGGACTCCTGGAGAAGGAAGTGAATCAAGGATTTCTCCAGTCTACAGGCAGATAGAGCTGTTGTGCATACATCTACAGACCACAATGATAACACTTTGTTCAAATGGAGAAGGAAAATATTAGATTCTCCTTTTCCCCAGAATCAGTGGGTGTTTGTCAATGTCGAGTACGCTTGCTTGGTAGCACATGTCTTCCGAGTCACTTGCTTCAGAAGCGAGGCAGGAATACTTCCTGGCATTCAGAAAACAAAGAGTGGAACAGGCGAGCAAGTGTGCAGGTGGGTTTCATATGAGAGGCCCGCCTTACATTTTCCGCCACAGATTTGGGGAAATTGGTCCGTGCGCAAAGCATGGTGGGGATTTTAAGACCGCGGAGTTTACACATGTGAAGCCTCGAAATTTCTCGCTACGAAGTACGCCGGGCTCGGTAGAATTCCAAGTATGCTGGACATTGGAACAGTCCTTCGACGGCACTCGATGACGTAGTATGCTTGAAATAGTGGCTCTGGAGTAGCTTTACTCAACATTGAGAAAAGCCCACAGAATCTCTCCCAACTTGTGCACATACTATGTTGCTGACCCTTTGACCCTTTGCTCAGTTTGAGAATTACAAGCACAAAGGGTTTATTATTCCAATTTTGTTATTGATGGTTGCTCAATTGATTTTCTCATAGGCCAGCTGCTTATGAAGCCTTTCCCTTGTTATCATGTGTTTTCCATCAAGTGTATAGCCTTTTCCCCCCATTTGTGTAATGAACGGGTTTGAAATGTGTTTAACAGTCTTTACTGCCAATAAATGCAAATGTTCATGACTTAGCAGAGTTTAAGTAGTTCCAAGTTGTAAGTGTGATTAAGTTGTTTTCACAAATTTCGCAACAGTGCAAGGGAACTGTTTCAGTTTATGGCGAGGGATTTCCAGGAAGACGAATCAGATGTTTGTATTTTGTGACAGTCATTATTAAAAACCTAGCACAGTTTAAGAAGTTGGGGGCCTTGTAAGTGTCCTTTTGTTGTTTTCACAAATGTCGCAATAGTGCAAGGGCACTGTTTCAATTTATGGACAGGGATTTCCAGGAAGACGTGTCAGATGTTAGCATTATCTGATAGACAAGATATAAAACAGATGGTTTACTATGTGAGTTAGTGTCTTGTACTCCCACAAATACTCTACAATATCTTAAGGGATCATACATATTACATTCTGTCATCTATCTTTGTTTCATTAACTGCATGTGCCAGTTTCTTCTGAATAAATACATGAATGACAAGCTGTTATATAAACTCTGCCTTTGATTCATTCCAGTTTAATGGACTGTACTAATAAAACATGACGAGTTACCTCCATGATATAGAGTTACTAACCGTTAGCTGAAAACAAGTGAAAACACAGCTTAGATGAAAGATATTTAAGAAAAACTTTATTTGTGACTTATTAACAAAACACATTACCAGATGAAATAATAAGATTCACTATTATCACCTTTACAATGAAAAGCAGGTGTACAAAAAAAGTTATGAACTGATCTGCACTGTCACAGTCGACTGGCGTGCACCACTCACTGCCACACCCAGCGACCGAGGAACATTCACTATACACAAGCAGAGAATACATCAACTTTATTTTTGTTACAACGTTTTATGTATTTTGACTTTTTTTTCTTCTTTTTATACCGTTTTCTTTACAAGTGTTATATATGGAGGATGAGTAAATGACTTTCACACTGGTGTTCGTTTGATCATCATTTCAAAGTTTAACACAACTTTCAGGAATGATTTTCTGATCTTAGAAAATCATAAGGGTAAACACATGGGGGAGGGGGAAGCATTTCATAGCATAACACAATAGCATTATGTATATCTAGAAGATTAAATTCATTTTCAACAGGATAAAAAATGTGATTCTTTTAGGTTTTTTCCACAGAATTACTGTTCGCAATAGTTATGTATGTATGTATGAATGTGTGTGGGTCTTCCAGTGTGTGTGTATTTGAGAATGTGTATCAGAGGTATATGTATTCCGATACGCATCTCCCAGTGGAAAAACATATCTATGTATATATAGTATCTCTATATTATCTGTTTCCTTTGCTTATAACATGCAAACAGCCACTTGGTGATCTGACAGAGGTACACCTGAAGGACGGGGTAGGGGGGGAAAACACATGTGCATGGGAGGGATTGAGCCCGAGCAGCACCTACATTTCCCTACTGTGAGTGGTAAGACAATGTTTAAAAGAAAGGGACACTGAGGTGAGGTTTTATGACACTTTTCCTTCATAGTAATGCTGTTCCAATATCTAAAACTGTTTGCTACCATGCCACACCTGGGTTTCACAATGTCAGGGCCAAACAAAGCGTATCACTTTTACACCGTTCACACTTCAACAATGAAACTTGTACGTTCTTTCTGCACAGCATGTCCTTGCAACACTATTTCTATCGATTGTGTGCAGCAATTAAGACAAAAAGTATCCTTTCAAAGGTCTTGCTAGCTGAGATTATTGTCTTAAAAATGTCCTTCACCTCCAATAAAGTGGATTCCCCCCTTTCCAAGTCAACCACAAGTCAACCTCCTTCCACTGCTGCTGAACTGCGCTGCATGTATTTTGTACATGGTTTTAGTCAACACCACATTTATCAGTTCTTACTAATGGCTGACAGAAGAATGACTGCAATGCCTCTGCTCATGCGAAAGAGGAATGACCTGCCCAATTAACTCTGCTGCAGTTTCCTCATCTTCTACGTTGGAGATGCACAATGACTATTCTTTTGCTTCTCCATTTTGTCTCAACATTTCCAGTACAGCATCAACCCAGATTCAACTAACTTGTCAGATTTCCGAACAATGCACTATGCAAGAGATGACAGAGACACTTCGGCTGAAAGGTTCCTAAGCTCAGCTGAAGTTGAACCTAACAAAAGATGTGTCTGTGTGTGTGTACTATATGTGCATGTATCTATCTGTGGTATTGAAGCAGAATGACTTCCATGAGAAATGTCGTCCAACCATGTTGATTCGAAGAAACGGGAGTAGAGCAAGGAAACAGGCAGCGGGCAAGCAAATGCTCCAAGCACTGAAGCAGTTGAGGCAGTGGCACAGGGCTTGAATAACAACTACTTAACATTCAAAGACAGAAGAAGAGGGAACAGGCTTGAACAGAAATGAAGCAACAAGCAACGATCCTGCTTCCCATCCATATAATACACTCAATATTAAGGTTGCCATTGGCCTCCCGTTAGTGTTCTTTTCGTATATTTTTGTGTATTCTGTATATCTGTATGTGTGTAAGAGAGAGTGTGTGTGTGTATGTGTGAGTAAGAGGCTATGTTTGTGTACAATAATGTCAGTCTGAATGTGCTGATACACAGTGGGATTATGACCCCATTGACCTGTGCCATATTCCAAGAAAATAGGCATGGTCAGGTGCCGTTGCATCAGCTGCACGTAGGTTCCCTAGTTTTATCCGAAGTTAGCCACTTATCCCGATCCACGCATTGCTAAAACACAAGCGGTAGCACCACAAAAATCTGTTAACCTTAAGTCACAACTAAATAGTTAAGCAAGCAAGTAAGCAGGTGCAAATGATACAAAGTCACACAATTGCACTCACTAACAGTAAAGCAGAACTTCAATTTTTTTTTTAACATTGTTCCTTTCTTCTTCAGTAATTCCATGCCAATTTGCAATTTTTAAGGACTATAACAGTGATGTTTCTGCACATTTTCTACACAAGGACACATTACTGATGACAATTTTTGAACTAAGATTTTTTTTTTTATTCCATTCCATTAAAATACATTTTCTGAGACCTGGCCAAATTGTATAATGCAGTAAACTATACCCTGTGTTCACTTTAATGCATATGTTAATGGTAAATAGTTTCAGGGTTTCAGCTCATTTATTTTTGTGGCAATAGTATGACAATGGCTCACAAAAACAAATTTAAAAAATCGTCAGAGACGTAAAAGATGGACTGCAACATGCAAAAACTAGTCTTGTCGTTTAAAAGTCAAATATGGATGTTATTTGCCGATCGTTTTGTTTTATGCCAATCTAGTCAACTACACACCCTGTACCCATCTGCGAGGTAATGCCATTACTGATTGGCAAATTATCTGAAATCTCGGTTATAACTTACAGCCGTAGAGTTGCCCGCTTACTACCCATGGTACAATCGAATCGAGTAATTTGCTAATAGCAAATTAACCAGCAGTTATGGAGAAACTACTTTATACCCTAACCTTGGAACAAATGTGCGCATAGTTGGTGCAACCTAGTCCAAGTCCTGAGCCTCAGCAGTGTGCTATATTACATTGAAAAACAGAGCTCTTTGTTAGAGTGTGGTCCTACTTGTCTCAGCCACCCCAATCTCTTAAAGGTGCTAATCTCATGATACATATACTGTATGCTGTTACTTTTTCATTTTCATATTATTTTTTACAAAAGACCGCATTTGCTGAATTTCTACAAGGCCTCCGTAATACTGAAGACAAAAGCCTCGGTTTCATTTTTTTTGTTTGGCTTCCACTTCACCTCCAAGTAGGTTAGCCAAAAAGGAAGGGGGCTGCATAAAGACAGAGAAGCCAACACAGGCAGCCTCAGCTGACAATGGTCAGATACAAATAGAACACCTTTTCAGGTGTTTTTGTTTTATTGTATAAAGTGGGGCAGGGGGCAGCAAATCACAGAAAGGCTAATCTAATCCAATAAAACCCTTTCTGTTTGAATTTGGTCCAACCTTTCGATCAAGTCTGTCCATTAAGAACATTTGTTTACCATAAACCTTAGACTTTTATAGGCCTACTTTATGGATCAAATGAGCCAAGACATTTGTTCTTATGACGTGGGGAGCCAGGCCTGTTCTAATGAGGGTTTGGCCACTGTACAATGTCTATGCAAGTATGGTGCAAGGAGGCTCCCTCGTTTCTACAATATGTATTTGGCGTTTTTTCTGGCTCTGTAATTGGGATGGTAGTTTGTTGGTAGCTCTGTTTTTAAGTCACCCCTTCACCTCTAATCATCATCATCCTTGCCCTTATCCTTCTTGTCTTTCTTGTCCTTCTTCTTCTTTTTCTTCTTCTTGGCGTCCTCCTTCTTGCCGAAGCTTATGAAGTCACCTTTGTCATCCACGGGGCCGGCGTCCTGGCGAATGGAAATTATGGCTGGGGATCCGGGGATGATGAAGGCTTCAGGATGAATCTCTCCGGGCCTCATGGGCTGAGGAGGGTAGTAGCCCTGTCCGGAGGCGCCGTACCTGAAGTGCCAGCTGTTGCTGTCTACTCCAGCACCCACTGGGGGGGAGAGTTCACCACCATCTCCATCTGCACAGGTAGGACAAATAAAAAGAATGATGTCAAGTCTAGCTATTACATTTATGAAATCCTTTCTTGAGTCAACAAGCTATTGAAAGTTAAATTAGGAAATCGATTCTTATATTATTTAATTACAAGTTGAACAAACTTGTTCAAACAAAATGTTCAATTTTGATATTTAACGTGTAATCCTTATTCTTGGAAGTGTACTCCCGGCTTGGACAAAGTCAGTGTGTTGGGATTAGTTGAGTGAAATACTTAGAAAAATATTCTCGTTGCCAACAAGAAAAGGCCAGAGTGACATGAGAGTTAGGAGGAATAATTATTGTATCTGTGACAGAAAATGTACACCAACCAGATGGGGGCAAGAGAGTTGTTATATTCATTTGGATGTTCTTGTTTTGACAAAGCTTGGCATCCTGTAACTTATCATACTAAATAACGTAAGCTAGGTGGGTGGGGAAAGTAACTACAGTATATATATATATATATGTGTGATATTTGTATAATTGAGGCGCGCTCTTGGTATTGTTTCCGTGGTGTATCATATTTGACACTGGAATAAAACTAAAAGACCTGTCGGGCTGCAAATCTCCTCCTGCCTCTCGTCTGATCCTTTCCGGCCACTACAGGTGCTGGTAGGCCGATGTTTATGTCTTACAGGCAGGCTAGCTACTGTATCCCCCAGTTTTCAGTTTTTATGCTAAGCTAAGTGAAACAGTTGCTACCATTCTAATGCATCACATGGGCAAAACTGCACCTACTTTGTTCTAAAAGTGAAACCAAAAAAATAAACGGGCTATATAACTGAATTACAAATAACTTTTAACTTGTTTAAGCACCAAAGCTACATGTTAAGGAAAAGATTGTAATTTGTGTGAAAATTAAATGAAAGTGAAACATTCTCATGAACACAAAGACAACAACACATCTCACTAACATTGGTCTGGTCCTGTGTTTTTAGTTTTTAGCTTTTATACTACATATATTAGCTGACTTCTGCCTCTGCAGTGATAATGACATCTGCTGCTTTAGTTAGGTGTCACCTTTTTGTTTTAATTGTTCTCGTTAATCAACAGTATGAATAGACTGTAATATTTACTGGTTGAAGTAGCAGGCCCTTTCTGACCCAAACCCATGAGTCTGAAATCCATTGATAATGCCCATCAATTGGCTGTTAAACTAGGTGTAGCAATCTTCTCCAAAAATATAGAACTATTCCTTGAAGTATAAATTCCACAGTAGCTCTTTGCAAATTATATTTTGATTACTTGTGAGTGGCAGAAGCAGGGCAGTCCATTCTGACCGTGACTTCACAGAGGTAAATCCACCTTTGCTACTCAATGTGAATTAATTGTCCTGCTTGTCATGCATAGCTTCCTAATAAGACTTGATGATTTGGTCCTTGAGATGTTCATCTAATCTGACATGTAAGGAATAATCAAAATGGTGCACAAAAGAGTGGAGAGCAGTAGCCTGACAATGGAGCGGTAGCCACAGGGAGTGGATGTTTTCAGGACAGATAGACCACAGGAGGGAACACTGGAGGGGGCTAACCTTTAAACCACAGGGATGTTTGACGTGGCAGTGTTATTTGTATTTGGCTGATGACAGCAGCCTAATCCTACTCTCATAGGAGGCCAGAGACAGGGATTCAAAATCTAACATGTTGCCCTCAAGCTTGGATGTGACAGAAAGGAACCCATTTGGGGAAAAGATAGTAGGACAAAAAACCTGTGTATATATAGAGGAATTGCTATGGGAAGTGAAAATAAGACATAGATATTAAGGTCAAAAGGTTAAAGACAGCGGAATGAAAAGGAAAGAGGATGTGAGATGAGATAAGAGGAGAGAGAGAGAGAGAGAGAGCGCTAGAGAGGCAGTAAGAAAGATGGGGGTGGGTGGGTTTTGCAGACACCGTGCTCTCAGGCCCACACCAGTTCCCTCTGCGCTGACCTACTTTCTCTCTGGATTTCATTTAGATCAAACACGGCCCTTGCAAAAGATTCTGTTTGATTTTTTGTTGTAGGCTATTTATGACACTACTGGAATGCTGAAATGGTTTCAAACCATAGTCCCATTGGGAAGTACACTATTCTGAAAATGCATCCATGAACCGGCCCCTACAAATGAGCTCTTCAAGTATGAGAATAAATTATATATAAATGGACTATAATAAGAGCAGATGTAATGGGCAATACCACAATGCATATATTAACACAGTAAAGGATTGAGGTTGTAATATAGCAGGAGTGGTCAGATAGTGTGTCTTAAAGTAACAAAGCAGCAACGTACCATTGTGACAGGAACAGAAACACACATACATAATTAGTTTTCTTCTGGCAAAAATAGAAGTATTCATTTGTAAGCTTCATTAAATAATAAGCATGTGAAGGAACAGGATAGCTAATAAATCACTTCAAGCCTCGACTGCAGAGGAAAATGCAGATTTAGTTTCTTTGTTTTAAAAAGGTTGTCTCATGCCAACACAGAAGGGTCCTCCGCATTGTGACATACTGTAGCTCCATTACATGGGCCACCAGCTCTCTTTACATGGTGGTCCAGAAACAACTACATTTTGGAGCAGATCCAGAACAAGGCGCAAATACTTGAATTGTGTTTCTTAAATTGCTTCAACGATTCCAGAGAGGGTGTTTGTGGTACTTTTAAATGGTGACAGAAACATTTCCCAATCTGAAAAATAAGTCCACAACCGAGAAAATTCAAGTGAACGCCCCCTTATGTCGCAACAACAAATGTTATCTTTAGTACCAAGATGATGTTGAAAACTCTTAAGAGTAAACAAAAACTTTTTTGTGGTGTCATGAACACACTAAAGTTAGATGGGCAACTACCCAAATTTGGAAATGGTTCCATTCAAGGAACACTTGAAAGCAGCTTGTGCCTTGGTAGACTCTTCCATTGCCATCGTAGATTGCCATTGACCTAAGTTATTTAGCTTGTTAAATGATTTGTCAGTGTCATATGTTATCATTTTATCCTACCATTAGTATAATTCTGTAATGCTGTTTCAGAGGATTATGATTTGATGGTATGCTCTTTAATCTGGGTATTAAACCCAGGAAGAGGATCTGGTATTTTTAAATCAGTCCAATTCAATGGCTTTCAATGGTTAGACAGCAAGATTGCTTCTCATGTGGAGGAGGACAACATTCTTAAAATAACCTGAAAAGACAGCCGGTTAGTTAGATGTGCAAAATACTGTCAGGCAGAATGTGGAAGATCTCATTCAGCCAGTAATGCAGTGAGTACATTTGCTGTACGCAATGCACCTCCATTTTATATAACTGACATGTCCTGTTACCTATTTAAAGGTGGGTAAGTGTTTTCAGTCGTTATATTTTGTTAACACATTATTTAGACGGTCTTAACCTGTATTTATGGAGGTAAAGACATACAAAGGATATTTCTTTTGACATTTCATTTTTACAGGTTTAAAACCCTGTAATTTAAAAGTAAAGCATTACACCTAATCCAAAGCAGCCTGCAAACTACCTTTTTACCATAACATGACTTTTAATTATATTTAAGTATAACGGGGCAGGTTGCACAACTCTCCTACAGCTTTACAAATATGATTACACACAAATAATGTCAGACCCAAAGTAAATACAAACACCAAATGGAGGAGAAAGGTCAATACGTGCACACAGTGGAAAGGGTTCTGCCTCCTGGAAGTTTGAATGTGCTCATTACATTTTAATCAAGCGGAAGACCTCTGCGGATGTCTGTTTTTCCTGACAAGTTTATCGTAAATATCGCTCACTTCAATTGTTCTTTAATACAGCTTGATGTGCACTTAGAAAATAACAGAGCCATTTAGAGAAAAATACACAAGCCTAAAACCAAGAAGGCCCAACTCAAGTATTGAAATTGGTAATCCAAAAAGCAATGGCTGACATAATAGTGACTACTTCCACTTCTTATATAGGGTCTATGATTAAAATGTACTAAGCCTGATGGAGGTGCTAGACAAAAGGTGATGATGGGTCCACCTATACATCCAGATTATCCTCCGATTCAAATTGATATTCACTTAAGATTTTATAGAATATTATGTGTCTAGTCATTCTTGGTATATTTTTATTTGATCCAAGTTATTTGGTTTTGGCCAGACCATTGCAGGCAGGCTACAGGACCTTAATTGTGGTGGACCACTCATTATAGAAAAAGGTAACAAGAAGCCTTTAGATTTGGCCTGCGTAATTTATTGTTTTCATTGCAATGTCCAATTCTGACATCGTTTTTTGTTCTTTTAAAGTGAATAAAAGCAGAAGACTTTGAAACGTACTAAATGTAATTTTTAAATAGTGCCTTTTGAGTTCATTTAAATGTTAAATGTTATCAATAAATCAAATATTATAAATAATTTCCTTTCATGTTTTAAGAAGACATAGAAATGCTAAACTCTGTAAACTTTAATATCTGTTTGTATATATAATTAACCTGTGCTGATTATGAGCCTGAGACTTTTTTCATTGCCAGACTGCACTGTAGCTATTGTGCATACAACAATAAACCCTTTGAACCTTTGAATTACTGTACTAGTAGTAAAGAAGCTGGAAACCTCACTATAATGACTGTGTTCCTGCAGTGAGGAAAATTGTACACTTTGAGAGCAGTACAGTGTTTGGTTTATTTGCACTTGATGAGGCTATAGCATTTCATGTCCTTATGACCAACAGAGGTAAAATGTCAAGTGGCTGTGAAGTGTCTAATCAAATGAATATTGTCTCAGCGACTCGGGACATCCCAGGGCTCTCTGCAGCGGCTGTGACGAATCCAAAACCCTGACATTGTTAATTAGAATCCTGGCCCAGGTATTAATCTGAGATATTCCTCTGTGTGTACGTGAAAAAAAGAAGTCATAACGTGCTGCAAGAGCTTTGCTTCCTCTGCTACTGTTTCTCTAACATGGAGGATTATTTGTAACTCTGCCATAGCTTCATATTAGCCTATATTTTGGAGCAAATTCGCATCCTGAAACGGATTATGGTGAAATGGCTGGTAAGCAGGTCAGCACAGCTCCTTGTGAGGAGGTTGCCATGACACCTGCTAGATATGTGGGTGTTTGAAGCCTCATTTCGTGTCACCTTGATGTCCTACATTTAAAATAGGCTGTGTTTTTTTCTATTTCATCCAAGATACGATTCCATCTAAAAAAGAATCCCTCTAGTGGTTTGTAGCACATAGGGTCACACATCTGTGTGTGCAGTAACGCTTGTATAAATATGTGCGGTTTAGCCCATGCATTCTGCATGAGAAACATCTACCAGAACCATTATTTCCTCAAATATTACTGCATCCCCTTTTTCTTCCTACTACCTGCCCCTGCAGAGTCTGCTTCCCTTTTCCGTTCCCTGCTCCTTCCTTTTTTTTCTGTCTGTACATTTTCCATTTAAAGATATGACCCGTTGCCATGGAAACTGCCTTCGCCCACTCCCTGCTGATGGAGGGTGCGGCTGCTGCAGCAATCTCTCAGTTAGACAGTGTTGCCAGGCAACAGGTCACATGGCGTTCCCTAGCAACAACACTACTGCAGGAACCTGCCAATCCTCTTAACCTTTCTCTTCCTCCATCCCCCCACACCTCGCTGTTTTCCTTTTCTCTCCATCCCCTTGTACCTCTCCTCTGCTATCCCTCTCTAAAATAGCTTTTAATGTTACTGGATCTCTTTTTTTCTCCCTGATACTCTCTTATTACTGATAATAGCTTCTCTCCCCCTCTGGCATTAGACAAAGGTCTCCTCATCTGCACCATGGGTCACTTACATAAACACAGTTTTGAGGGTGCTACATTTAGATGCATCAGAGCATACCAGACAACTTCATGATAACAATTCACTGCAGACATGAAAATGTGTCACAAAAAAGGTTCCACCTCTTGATGCATAAGAGGATTAACCTGCAATCCATTACATGTCTATGCCTTTAGTGCCAAGCCACTCATGACAAATTATTTCCTATCATGCAACAACGCATGTCTGCAGTAGACACTGTACACTCTGCTTAAAGACAATATTTGAGTCTTTACATGACCATGCCGGCAGCTTTTTTTTTAAACTGCTGACAAAAACACATTCCTCTGCAGCCAACAGGCACAGAGATGCTGGTAGAGCTTGTACCTTGAATCATTTTCCAGCTTTTTTCCCCAGAGAGAAGCGCTGACAGACAGTAAGACATATTCTGTCACTTGCTTGCCGTGTGATTGACTGGGATGCTACCCTTCACCCTCAGATCTCTACTCATGTTGTTATTCCTGCAGCTAGACAGAAAATCAATAAATGGCTGAAGGAAGAAAGGATGGAACAGCTCACAATGTTCCAAACACTGTTTCGAAGTTGTACGTTTCAAAAGTTTTCCAATCATTGGACAAAAACTGTCTTTAGCTTCCTTTGAGCTTGTGTTTATGTGAAGCACAGGTCATTTCCTAGCCGGTTCTATTTACACTTATGTTGTGCTATGCAACACAGTTGTTATGTTGCCACCCACTCAGGACAGCTCATGTCTTATTAAAAACACACAGCTTTTTCAGTCTGTAGCTCCCTATGCTGCAGCTGCTTTCAAGGGAGGATACAGTTGTTTATCTGTGGCTCTGTGAAAGAGCTCCAGGCTTTTGGCACCTCAGCTAAGCTCTGCATGAACACTGCAGTGGAATTCAGATCATATAGATATTTAAAGCAGATGTCAAATCCAAAGTTTTACTATATTATCTGAACCAAAGATTCATTCAACTTTACAAATGTATTACATATTGTGATTGTGATTAAATGTAATTTAGTGGCTTTTATTTTGAGACAACCTCTGTGTTGCATGCCCTATGGGACTCCTTTCTGCAAATATTGACCTAGATAATATATTGTCATTTTTTATTAATTGTTTCACATTTTAGGAAGTGCTCTTTGTTGCAATGATGTTCACATAATAAATACACATGTCATCTCTGTACGTTAAATAATAACCTAGTGTCAGGAGACAGTCAGCCTAGCTTAACCTGAATACCAATATTTGGGAGAATCAGTAAGCCTAGCACTGTTCAAACGTAAAAGACAAACATTTAGGTACCTGTAAAATCTCACGGACAAACCACATATCTTCTTTAAAGGTCCCATGACATGGCCATTTCTACTGATCATAATTCCATTGTTGAGGTCTACTAGAATAGGGGGCAGCATAGACAGGTCTTTTCTGTGTTAGAGTTGTACTCGCTACAGAGTGTACTTTGAGAGTTTGTGACTTTGCAGACCGTTTACATGCAGAAAAACCTGGGTAATAACTGGAAAAGCATGACATGGGACCTTTAAACAGTACAAAAGAAAACGAAAAAAAATTGCAAAGCAACTTTCGGATTTTACACTTTGGCTCTTGTACAGAATAAACAAACAAGATGAGCCTATTACATGTTGAATAGCAAGCTTTAGAGGTGCTGGTAGCCATTTTTAAAAAACTACTTTAATCAAAACAAGGCTAGCCGTTTCCCGTTGTTTATAGTCTTTATGCTAAGCTAAGCGTATCATGGCTGTTTTCTAATGAGCTACAGATATGAGAGTAGAATGATTCTTCTCACCCAACCCTTGTTAAGAAAACAAACACGCATTTCCCAAAATGATAAATTAGTGTACTTCTTTACTTTAGCTTACTAAACTATTATCTGTTTCCTTGAAGACTTAAAATGTGTCTAAAAAATGTGTTTTGTGACACTATTACAGAGCATACATAATACAAAAAAAATGATAGTCCACTACATCACTGTAGCAATTGTTTAGCTAACAGTAGTAGCTTACACAACAGTTTATGCCCTGGGCAGTGTTGGGTTATGCCCTTCTGTCTAATGATGTTATTATTTATGTATATAAGAATAGCTTGTACAACCTACTGTGTTTATGAACCCCAGGGTTTAATTTATTCACCTGCCAGCAGCTTTATTGGGAGGGAGTAACATGAGTGCAGCGACAGGGACATGAACACTTGCTGGCTTCCCCGACCATTATGTTTTTGGCACGCACAACAAGGGTCCCAGAGGGATTACATCTTTGGTGCCTGCGTAAGGACATTCCAGTACACCTGACTTGAACATCCTCTGCTTTTGAATACACAATTTCCCCAAATAAGCTGACACTCTCGGTGCTTTTCCCCCACTCTCTCCTCACTGCTACTCACCTGCAGCACTGGACACAGTGGGCCAGTTCTGGACCAGCATCCCCTGGGCCCCCTGCACCATAGAGGACTCCTCCATGTGGACCGAACTGAAAGGCAGAACACATTCAGCAAACTCAATGAGACACTTCAAATCAAATATTAATTCAACCTTTGAATCAAACATTGAGTCATTATTCATGGCTATACAGTCTGGCTGTTAAGCATTTTCATATTAAAGAAGTTTGTTTTTATGATAGTATATATTTCCAAAGCATCAACTGAATGGCTATTAAACACTTACATTCTAAACATTTCTAGCAGCATTGGCCACTATTTTCAGGCCTCAACAACCCCAGTGCCGAGAGCGACCACTTTTGGACTACTACATCTATTTCTTGTGCTTTTGGTGCCCGTAGAATCCACTTATCAGTTTTCATATATTAAAAAAACAACAACATTCAACCCTTACATGTACAATACACTGCCTTTAAACAGTGTGAGAAATCCCCTTTTACCCTCAAATAAAGAGCTAAATAAAATTGAGCCAACATACATTTTATTAAAGGTCCCATGACATGGCCATTTCTACTGATCTCGCTGTCTGTGAGAGAGCGAGACATTGACAGATGGAATATAGAAGAAGCCATTTAGAACATTTGCTTTCAGTTTAGTATATTTGTGTAGCTGTTGAGTAACACAGGACTTGCTGTGGTTTAGAGTTGTCACGCCCTTACCCCTATTTTCCCATCATCCTTCTTCTACAATTCATTCTCTCTCACGCTGAGTGCCTTTCTTCTATAAACGCTGCTTCACAGTAAAAGCTTTCCAATAGCACTTTCTACTTTGCTGGTTTTTCATCTGTCAACATTTTAGACTTATTTACATATTCAATTGGGATACATAACATTTTGAAAGTACTTAAGTGTTTCCAGCTGATCTTGTTACATATTTATATTTGAATAATTATGTGTATAGAAAGTAGGACACTCCTACCACACCCAAATGAAAAATATTAAGAATTCACGCTACAAGCACAACATAGACTCTCAGGATGTTGGCAGTTTTTGAAGTCTGAGATGTTTTTTATTTTAAATGTCATCAGTAGACATGAAACCCAAAGGGTGTTCTTTTCTGGGATCGACTGTTTTATTCGACTCAGCGGGTGGGCTGTAGATGTAGAAGTCATTCCTTTTATATATTTTCTACAAGAAGGCCTCAAAGTAATTATTATTTTTAACATTGAATAGTAAGATGATTGTTTTACCCTTTACATTACATGTTAGACGCTATCCAAAGCGACTTACCAGTGGCGAGCCGTCAGGAACCTCTAGGCAACATTTGTTTGCTGTTTACAGCATTCCACTATAGTTCTTCGATTCTTTAATCATCTTCTTATTTCACCAAATAGTTTGGCTCTCAATAACTTCAGCATACTTTCAGCTACAGAAACCATTCAAATATCAAAAATATTCAGCCTTTTCAGCACATGATGGGAAACTTTCAACTTTTTCAAAATATTTTATACTTGAAATATTCAGCTTTTTAAACTCTTTTTTTAACATGGAACTATGGGAGGAACCTTCAAATCCTCTTTTACCTACACCTTGCGCCAAATGCTTCTCCTTCCACATACTTTCAGCTAAAGACTTCATTCCAACTTTAAAATGATCACAAGCCCTTCAGCTATAAAACTTGTTCTTCAGATCCTTCATATCTTTTACACCTTTTGAGATATTTAACTTAGTTTGGAGCTTGGTAAAGAGGCCTTCTTCAGATTTAAATATGAGTGTGTATTGCGCAGCTCGTTAAGGCTTAGAGTGCGTGATGTCACAGCTAGTGGAGTGGAGGACAGCTCGAAATTCGTCATATAACTGCCATAATTCCCAAACCCTACACTCCTTGGACATAATTTGTTGTTAAATCAGAGCATTTAGGAATCAGAATAAGCTTTTTAAATGGCAACATTTGACTTGACAAGATACAATAAAAATGTTTTATTCTCGGAAAAGCTCCGGTGTTGCTTTCTAAATGACTGTTGAGGTAAGAGTGACATCCTGCCAGCATGCAGGACCCTGAAATCAAAGCAGCTAAATGGATTTCAGCCATCATTTAATGTATTATTTACACCCATGCTTTCAGGTCAAAGAGTCAAACAGGACATTAATAGGGCTAATTTCCCTTAAGCTTTCCTACATAAGCATAACACAACTGGGGGAAAAGGATGACACAGAATCACTCAATTGTAACTTTAGATTAAGAAACTTTTGTAATGATGTTATAAACATCCAAAGCCAAGGGTTTCCAACCTAGTCCGGAGATTTTCCCCGCATACATCCATAATGAATCCAGAGCTTACTGTATAGGAGGCACTATCCTGGCTGTGGCCTCTGCAATGCAGCAGAGCATCTACCTCAAAACTGCAACACGCTTATGTGTTACGTTGAATAGGGATTAGTTATAAATAAAAAATGGCTGTGTGCATTCTGAACAGTGTGAGTTTAACTTTTCCATAATCAAGGGAGCTAGTTGTAACGGGTGAGAGCGTGACACAGATACTGGTGTTTTCTCCACTGACTGACTACCCTAGGAATGTGGGTCAGTAAAGTTGATGCTCCACGCTTTGTTTAGATATATTACAGCATGCGTGTGTTAGGGTGAAGTGTTAATACATGAGCCTCTCTGTGTCTTAGCGTGTTACAGGCACTGCCATTCTAGAGATGGCAGCGGCAAATTGCAATGATGATTTATGTTAATCCATGTCATGTTACAGTGACTTGATGACATGATGCTCATTATGATACCCTCCACGCCATAGAAATTAACACTAATATCCAATTAAATCAAACTTAGACAACGCAGAGGACTGCACGACTGAGCGGTGAGCATTGTTGGCAGGAAATTAGGAGAATTTAGTACAAATTACAGACATGCGGAGGTAAAACTAATTTGCCCCCGACGTTACAGCTGTCCTCGTATTAAATTAGCGAAACACTTGATTATGTATTTTAAATAACTTTTCTGACATGATCATTACCAAATTCAAATGACAGATGTAGATACAAAAAAGCTATTTTTGGATCCAATGTCAGTATTCTCTGATTGCTTTGAAACTAATGATAATGAGATCTTTAGACCAATCTATAATTCAGATTTGGTCAAGCAATAAGGCGTAGGAATCTCACTGCAGGCCAATTAACAGCAGGAATAAAGTCCAAAAATGTCCTCTACTGTCTGTATTTACAACTTCTCCCCTCATCGCTGGACAAAAAGACACACAGAAGGGCATGCATGTGTGATGTGCACGTAGAGACTGATGCATGTGTGGCTCTGATCATCTGAGAAAGGTCATAGTCAGCTCATTTGTCCTTCATGCTTCCTGCTTAAAGACTGGGGGGAAGCGACGCTCAGAATGTAGATGACCTATATAGTGTTACACTGCAGAGGAGGAGTGCTATGCATCCACTGATGGGAGCTGCAGATGGCTGTTCCCCAAGAAGGAAGACGTTCACAAAGTGATGCTGAGGGGGCCACTGATGGTTGTTTTTAATAATGGCACATACTGGTCAGCAGTTTTTTTTATTGCGCTGCTATCATTTCTGATGGAAGTGTAGGGATATGCAAAAAAGGTGATGATGTGTGGATAAATGTTGTATTAGATTCTGTACATTTAGCATCTCTGATAAAGAGTGTAAAGTGTGCCTTTTTCTAGAGGATCAAAGTTGTAAAAGAGTTAAAAGATGGAAATGTGCTTACCTCTGCATCCCTGTCCTCAAAGATGCAGAATATCGCCAGTCAGCATTCGGGGCTTTCGGCTGAGCGAGCAGGAGGTAGAGAGAGAGAGAGAGAGAGAGAGAGTTAGGTTTGATCTCATTCAGTGCAGCGCTAGGCTGGGCCATGGCCTCATCAATTAATCATGATACACATCCCAGCTCTGGACGTGATGGGAACACTGCAGTCGTGTCACACACGCACACACGCACACACACACACATGCACACACGCACACACACACACACACACACACACACACACACACACACACACACACACACACACACACACACACACACACACACACACACACACACACACACACACACACACACACACACACACACACACACACACACACACACACACACACACACACACACACACACACACACACATACATATTGATATCCACAGACACAGAAGGACTTGAAAAAGGGCAGTAACTGAACGCCATATTGACGAGTTTTTGGACAGTGTCACTCTGCGACTGTATAAATGTGGGAGTGGGAGAAATACCCTTTCCCTGAGTGCCGGATGGCTGTGTGTGTGTGCACAGACACATGTGTATGTGTGTGTGTGTGTGTGTGTGTGTGTGTGCGTGTGTGTGTGTGTGTGTGTGTGTGTGTGTGTGTGTGTGTGTGTGTGTGTGTGTGTGTGTGTGTGTGTGTGTGTGTGTGTGTGTGTGTATGTAACTGTGAGTGTCTGTCTGCTCCTGATGAACCCGGGCTGAGCTGAGTGGTTGGAAGTCCCAGCAGTCCCTGTGGTGAATAATTGCCTTTGAAAACCAATAAGCAAGAGCCATTATCGCCAGGGCAACCGCATCCAATACCTCTGGTTTATATTAGCCGGGTAGTAGATTAAGTATTTAGATCGTTTATTAAAGTAAAAGCAGCAATACAAAACAGTAGATTTACTCTGTTTAAAGTGAAAGTAAGCAAACGTATTTGCGTCAAAGAATACTTCAAGTACAACAATTAAAATGACTCATCCTGCACAGTGGCCTAATCATAAAACAATTCAGTATACAGTATTATATTATTATGTTCATAAAATATTTAGTAATTGTACATTTTCATTATTAATTTGAATTTTCAATGTAACTTAAGCTAAGTGATAATTGTAGTTAAGTAAAAAATGAAACACTTCCTGTGCATTTCAATAGAGTAAAAGTATAAAGTGGCAAGAAATGAAAATTCTCAAATAAGGGAACTTAAATTGTAATTAAGTAAAGTATTTAAGTAAATGTACTTATTTACTGTCAACCACTTGTATTACTTGAGGCATTTATATAAACAATATCAGTACAGTATAGCAAATCGCAAATGTGTCTGAGTGTAAGACAATGCATGTTACAACTGATCAATAATGTTTCACAAATTAATTTCTTCTATATTACATACCTTGGATATTTACTATACTGAAATTGAAACACATTGCTTGGATGAGGGTAATCTTTAACAACATACAGTATGTAACACTATTTTAAATGATCTTACATTAGCTCTCATCAGAGCTGTGATGGTGTAAATGGTAAGATTTATTTTTGATATAAATACATTTATATGCTTTCTTTAGCCTCTCAAAGTTTTTTTTTACATCATATACAACTGAATACATTTGGGTTATAGACTGACATTTGTACGAGAAGATATTCAGAGACATTGAAGCAACTTTAATGGACATTTCTTCCGATTTTCAGACAAAAATTATTGATAGGGAAATCATTATTGACAAGAAAAATGTTTAAGAAGGAAAATACTTTGCAGCTCGATAATGAAAACACTTGTTAGTTGCAGCTCTGGTTAAAAGTATTGAGATGTTTGGACATTATGTTAAGGCTGCCAAGACTGCTATTCCTTTGCCTTTGATGATGGACACATTTTGCTGATGATAATGCCTTCATATAAAAAAAATACCATATTGGTCTCATAGGGGGAAAGCCCTATTTTAATGAGCTAATCATTCATGCCTGATTATGCCTACTCATCACTTTCCTCATGAATAGGTACCGTCTAGCTGCACTGTATGAAATAATGTGAACAGCTGCATTCATGCAAAAAATTTGGCAGCATCATGTGGGTTGTAGCCTCGGAACCTGAATAACCCTTAAAACAAAATAAAAAGCTGTGTTTAAGACACAAACCTGCTCAGGCAGCAGCAAGTGTCCCAGATAATGCTGGCACATTGTGTTCTTCAGTTCAATTCAGAGGGGAGTATTTCCTGCTGGGAGAACCAGCATCTTTGAGTAAATCTAATTTACAGGGCTAAGGAACAGAGGCTGGAGGTTAATTTAATTTACAGTGCTACATTAGTCTTGGTTGGAGATTTTTTTGTAACTAATGTACCAGTGGCTGGCAACCGATAAGGATGATGCATCCAGAGATGAACGCCTAACCTTAGCAGCATTTGCCTTAATAATCGGACAGAAATATTTGTACCTTCTAATCTAACGTCTCCTGCATAAAGGCAAAATATATACCCAGAAATCTCCAACATGGACTCCATAAATCTACAACATGAACATGTCAACATTAGAGGTCTAAACAAATGGCACATGTATCTTCAGGAAAGCATGTATATAGAGCATCTCGATTAGCATCATGTCAATTAAACAGCAATATAAGTGATAATAGTGTTGGTGTTTTTGTTGCAATAATGTCATGTAATTCAGGGATTTTTGATGTAGTGTGTGTGGAATTAAATCATTAGATATGGCTTGGCAGGTGAAGGCATTCACTGTTTAACTCATCTAGAATAGTCGTGCAAGTTCAGAAGAAAAAACTAGTCATAGGGCCTCTGATCAAGTCAATTAACCCTTACTGCTCCAGTGCAACAGTCACACACAACTCACACACACACAAGTCTGCCCCCACACACAAAAGTGAAACACACTTGCACAGAGAATGAGAGAGTTGTGAATACTACGTGACCTGTTCCTAGTGTAGATGTGATGACAACCTCAAACTGAAACACAAATCTCTGAATCATCAGAAATAACAGAAGACCCTGAAAAGCATCAGGCCTGACACTAATGCAGTGTGAGTGCTGAGCTGGGCTGGGCGACAGCACAGCACAAGTGGGAACTGCACAGAGAGAATGCGGCATGCAAGGATTCAATTCATTGCAGGAGGCGATCAAACTTGACATACAGAAATATCAACGCCCTGCAGCAACACTATCACACAGACAGAAATTATGACAATGCATGCTATGGCAATAGACCTTAATGAAAAGTCATGTTTAGTATGTACTAAAAAGGGATGTTACATTGTTTCGAGCTAGAAAATATGTCATACAAGTAGAGCGGCAACGATTAGTTGACTTGTCGATTGAGTTGATGGAGATAATCTTAACATCTCTTGATAATCGATTATTCTTGAAAGTTATTTTTTCTGCACAAATGTCAGGAAATGCTGTTTTCAGCCTCTTAAAAATGCTGTTTTATATAATATTAAACTGAATATCAATAGGTTTCTCACTGACATTACAAAACATTAAAAGATTACAGACTTTCTGTTTCTTGTATTTTTTAGTGCATACAATGAATCTAGAAAATATTCTGCAGATTAATCCACATTGTATAAAATAATAGGTGTTTTTTTTGCAGCCCTACGTAGGCTACGTTAAAGCCACTAATGTGTAAACATGGTGATTCATGACCTTCCAGTCCTAACCTCCCACAAAGGTAAACATACAAAATGAATGACCCACCTCTGGGCAGAGTTGCATGGAGGCATCAGGCATGCTCAGTCTGCGTACAAATCCACTGTTATTGGTGAAGAAGCGGTCGGCGCCGCTGCCCCAGGTGCCACTGATGGGTCGTCCCGTGTTGTAGAACATGAAAGTGTCACTGCCGGAGGTGGCTGTCAGGCAGGTCTTGTAGCAGTAAGTCTTTGTTAGAGAGCCATTACCACGCACTTCGATGTAGTGAGGCTCCACTTTGAGGTCTCTCCGAAGCATCACATTGCTATTGGGCTGTGCTCCAGGTCCTCCGCCGCCTACCCCACCAGCACTCACGCTGCTGCTCCCCCCATCGGGAGGGGGCTTTTGCGACACACAGCAAGGAGAGCAAGATCCAGGTTGGGTGCAGTAGGCATGGCAACGGACGATTGCCAGCACCACAACAGTGACTAGGAAAACAAAGGTGGTGGCGCTCAGAGCCACGATCAAGTAGAGGGTCACATTGGAGAACAGCAGCGTGCTGTGGGGGCGTATGATTCTCTTCGGGTCAGGGGCCACTTTGGGCGGCACCTCCATGACAGCCACATTGATGGTGGCAGTGGAGGAGAGGCTAGGCTGCCCATGGTCCTTTACCACAACAGTCAGACCGAAAGATGTGGAGTTGTCCTCCAGGATCCTCCGAGTGGTCCTGATCTCCCCTGTGTGTTCGTGCACCTTGAACAGGTCCAGGTCAGTGGCCGTCTCCAGCACATACACCAGCCAGGCATTTGGACCTGCGTCTGCATCGTACGCCACCACTTTGGTAACCATGACACCAGGCTCTGCGTTCTTTTGCACTGTTTCCAAGGAGCGTGTGCCGTTGCCGGGAGGGTTGACTATCAGTGGTGCATGGTCATTCTGATCCATTACGTAGATGTAGACGGTGGCGACGCGACTGAGTGGAGGAATGCCCCCATCTTGGGCTTTGACCTGGAAGTGAAACTCTCTCAGTGACTCATAGTCAAAGGCTCGCAGGGCATACGCCTCCCCTGTATCGGCCTTCACAGACACATACGAGGTGACAGGGATGCCATGGTTGTTGTCATTGAGCACTGTGTAGGTGATGCGTGCATTCTCTTTGATGTCTGCGTCTTGAGCTTTCACAGTACACAAAGAGGCTCCAGGGCGTTGTTCTCGCCCACATAGACGGTGTACGAAGTCTGCTCAAATCGGGGTGGGTTGTCATTAACATCAGCCACATCCACCTGTATGGTCTTCTGAGAGGAGAGGGGAGGGTTCCCTCCATCTGTGGCACTCAGAGTGACATTGTAGGCAGCAGTGGTCTCGCGGTCCAGGAAGGCTGAGGTAACCAGAGTGTAGTAATTTCTGAATGACTTGATCTTGAAAGGAAGGCCTGCTGGGATCTCTAAGCTCACCTGCTTGTTAGCGCCAGAGTCTTGATCGGTCACACTAATAAGGGCCACTACGGTGTCTGCACGGGCATCCTCCCTCACGGGGCTCGACAGAGATGACAGCACTATCTGGGGAACGTTGTCGTTTACATCAACCACCTCTACGACCACCTTACAGTGTGCTGCCACGGCACCAGGGCCCTTGTCCATCGCCTGGATGTACATCTCATAGGAGTTGGTCTCTTCATAGTCAACATTGCTCCTCACTCTTATTTCTCCAGTATTGGTGTTCATGCTGAACATCTGCCTCACTCTCTCAGGGGTGTAACTGCTGAAAGAGTAATACACCTCTCCATTTGTGCCCTCATCCAGATCAGATGCATTCAGTTGGATAACCAGGGTGTCTTTGGCTGAATTTTCCAACAGTTTCACCTTGTACACTGAGCTGTCAAACGTGGGGACATTGTCATTTGAGTCCAGGACTCGGACATTGATTGTGGCGGTGCCTGTTTTCTCTGGCATCCCACCATCCACAGCACTTAGAATAAATTGGTGGTAAGGCGTCTGTTCACGGTCAACGGGCTTTTTGAGCACAAGCTCGATATGCTTTGTATTCAGGGAGGGTTTGTTGGACACCAGCGCGAAATGGTCGTTTGTGCTGAGCTGATACATGCGAACAGAATTTGAACCAATGTCTGGGTCTTCAGCGTTTTCAATTTGGAAACGAGAACCAGGTAAAGCAGATTCTGTGATTTCTAGTTGGTACTCGTCTCTGGGGAACTGCGGCGCATTATCATTGGCATCAACAATCTCCACCTCAACGTGGTGCACCTCATTGGGATTTTCGACCAGCACCTCCAGATTTATGAGGCAGGTGTTGGATAAATCACACAGTGCCTCCCTGTCGATTCTTTCATTGACAAGTAATTTCCCATTTTTGGGGTTGACAATCACATAACGTTTACCGCTGCTGGAGGTTACCTTCATTTTTCGGGTGGAGAGCTTTCGAATATCCAGCCCCAAGTCATGCGCCACATCGCCGACCAGTGCCCCATTTTCGAGCTCTTCTGTAACAGAATAGCGCAATTGTCCAAAGGAAAGGCCACAAAATAAGGAAAATATCACAAAATAAAAAGGCACATTATTCCCTATCCAGTTGCATATCCCCGTCACAGCCATTGCAAGCTCAAAGGATCCGCAGACGGATTAAACGCAGCCTTCCGCCTGTTTAGCTTGCAGTATCTTGCGTCCCAGCACCTCATTAAGGTGGGCTAATTGGTCTCCCGGTAAAAGAAGCACAAGCAGCTCATCCATTGTGCTACCCGGCGGAGATGAACCCTCTCTAGCGCACCCATATTTCCTTTGTCCGTGATGCGCTTTTTTTTATCTCCAATGCGCGCTGCTGACGGGTGTGTTTCCCTGCCTCTGGAGCTGTGAGTTAGGTAAAGCCGTTCGAATTCTGCACCAAGATTACTGGAAACGTGGTGGAGTCTTTTCAAAATAAAATAAGAAACTTGTCACATATACCCACTCCCATTGTACTCTCTCAGCACTTTTTTTTTTTAACGATCTTTCAATTACGTGCTGGGAGTCATAGCTTGTTACATTTGTTATACAATCCTGACTTATAGTTTCTTTAATTCTTACCATTATGCATAATGAATTTATTGAATGTATTGTATTGCGTGTGGTTGCTACAAACATACAACACATCACAATAAATCTGTGTGCCTTATTAAACATTTAGCAGCACAGCTAGTATGTAGAAGATTTATTCTGAAAACTAGAACCGGAGGTTATATAACTGAATGTAGCTGAATTGACTTTGGAAGCAACACATCCCACCTCAGCGCGCGCTCAGACCCCTGCCTTCTCCTCTCCAATGTGGCGCAGCTCCCCTCCTCCTTCCCCACCCATTTCTCGCCTCTCATGCCTCCATTGCGATGTCTGCTTACGGTCTGGGAGCTAATGAACGACCACCACATTAAAAGCACCCCCAGAATTAAAAATGAATATCTATTCAGCAACACCGGTAATTCATAACGTAAATCAGAAATGCTGTGCAGCACATGGCTGAAAAACCTAGCCTATGTTGAAAACGTAAAATAAAACCTGATGATAAATTATCTTATTTCCCGTTGTTACATTTTACTCGACTGTTGCTCATAAAAGGCAAGGTCGAGGCTCATCTGCACAATATTTAACACCGGGACCTCCCCCCAACATGGAAGATACAAGCAGAAACGTGGTCGCATACATCGGCACGTTTGGGGACCGGCTTGTGTGTGTCTCCATTTGTCTGTATGCTGGAGACATGAAGATGGTTCATTTGCCGGTAGCGATTCTGTGAGCCATCCCGCATGGCGAGCATTTGGGCAAGGCGCAGAAGAAATAAAGCATTGCACTGACAATCACAAGCTTCCTTCCACATGGATCACTGTCAGAGGCAGACCTCAGACTGTCAGGTCACATAATCATATCTAAGATGCCCGTGGTGGACCCCATAAAGCAGTCTCATTTCCTCTCTATGATATATATCCCGAAGAGAAACGTTATATAGGGGTATACTATGGGAATAACGGAGAGCGTGCAGAATATGTTAAATAAATAAATACTGAGGCTGCATTAATCAACATACAGGATTGAGCGTGTTGTCTTTATCAGAGGAAGATCAAGCTAAAACAATAATATCTATCTTATGTTTTTAAGGTTTATTCTTATATTTCTACTCTTCAATAAATGCAAATATTCAATTATTCCATTAGCTGTTTCTAGGGATTTGCTTTCCAACCTTGCAGTTGATTGTTAAAAAAATCAGGGAAACCAATTATAACATAGGGGAGACACAAGCAAGAGTTTACACTGATGTAAGAGGCAGCATGTTCTCCTAAGTGAACTTAGATATTTAAATTGCCTTTAGGTTCAAATGTCAGTAGTTGCAAATACTGGCTCATTGTTTAATTGTTCCTTTTTTATTTGCGATTTCAGAGGCTTCTTATTGTTTGGTAGTAGGCCTATGTACAGTACACCATATGGTGAAATGATTAGATGAGCCATTTTAATGCGTGGTTAAGTGCTTTTTTGCCTCTTTTTTTTATCTTTACTTTTGTGTTTCATGTAATTTCACATTTTCTTTGGCTGTGAGTGACCATTTGTTACATTTCCTGGTGGACTGCAACCCAAACCCTGGTCGGTAGATTCTAGTGGAATTTCATTGTCTGTGTGTCACCTTTAAATTAAATTCACCAGCTCTTTTGTCACATATTGTTGTCTATAATTGTAGTCCTAAATATCTATTTTATGTTGGAAAAGAGTAGGAGGTGTTGATGCCACATTAATGGAAGTTTGGATCATGCATCACTCCAAGTCCAGTTAACGTTGCAGAGAGATGGTAAAAACACATAGCAGTTCTGAGGCATTATACGTTTATGCAAAAGCATCAGAGTGGCGTTTTCAGAAATGGAGTTTGAATTGTTCTCATATTTCTCAACTGTTACTGTAAGTATAGATGCTTGCACAAACCAGGTTAGGTTGCATGACAAAAGAAGCATCAGCCAAGAAGTAACTTCTGCACCAGGGTCAGTTCCTCAGGCTCAGGATGGGTGAGGTGACATAATTATACAAATGTAATACAACATCAGGAAGATACGTCCCCAGCTGACTCAGAAAGCGACTCAGGTTCTGGTCCAGGCTCTCGTCATCTCACGCCTAGACTACTGCAACTCCCTCCTGGCTGGTCTACCTGCATGTGCCATCCGACCTCTGCAGCTCATCCAGAATGCAGCGGCTCGTCTGGTTTTCAACCTTCCTAAATTCTCCCACACCACTCCGCTCCTCCGCTCCCTTCACTGGCTTCCGGTAACTGCTAGAATCCACTTCAAGACACTGGTACTTGCTTACCGTGCTGCGAATGGATCTGGCCCTTCCTACATCCAGGACATGGTTAAACCGTACACCCCAGCGCGTGCACTACGCTCTGCATCAGCCAAACGACTCGTTGCGCCCTCGCTGCGAGGGGGACCCAAGTTCCCATCGGCGAAAACACGTGGGTTTGCTATCCTGGCTCCAAGATGGTGGAATGAGCTCCCCATTGACATCAGGACGGCAGATAGCTTGCACATCTTCCGGCGCAAACTGAAAACTCATCTCTTTCGACTCCACTTCGAGCGTTAGAACGATTAACGAAGCACTTATATACTAATAAAGGACTGGCTTATCTAAAGCCAGTTGAGTAGCACTTGAAATGTTTGGCTCTATGAAACCTGATATACTTATATGATTCTGTTTTCTTCAAGGTTGTGTCTTCCTGGTCGAATGTACTTATTGTAAGTCGCTTTGGACAAAAGCGTCAGCTAAATGCAATGTAATGTAATGTAATGCAATACATGTATATTTACTGGCTATGTTTGCATGCAAAGGGAAGTACGTTTTTTCAATGTGCATTTGACCTTGTTGGGTATATTTGTGTGTAAAATAAGAATCCAGTCAAATGTATAATGTAATTGAGGTGGAGATGTATGGTTTACTCCAGTATTAATTATTATATACTCATGGCAGAGCTGGAAAATGTCACAGCCCCTAGTTACTTGGATTAAAATACAATCTATAACTGGATGTGTTAATCAGATGAGGGAAATCCCATGTTAATGCAGTTATGCATGCACACAACACACAATGTGGCAGGGTGTAAAGGAATGATAATGAAGTACAACATAAACAAATATCACAGACTACATTTAAATAAATATATGCTCCTGCTAACATCAGTGAAGGAAAATATCTGTTTTTGTAATGTGTTTATCTCTATAAAAAGGATTAGAAGTAAAACCAATGCAAGAAAGTAAAACATCTATATAAAAGTCATATATAGGGTTATCCACGACATTCGTTGTCAAAGGTGTGTGTGATTTTGTTAATTTATTAGTGATATAACCAAACAGATCTGTACAAAATAGTTTTTACCAGTCTCTACCAGAGATGTGCTCATAGGTGGATTGTCTCTACAACATGACAACATGAAAACATATTCAAATGTACTTAAAAAGGTGGGGTAGGTAATTTTGGAGAAACCAGCTCGAGTGCGCTAGAGTTTGAAAATACACAGCCGGAAAAAATCTGCCACTTCCTTACAGAGCCCCTCCTCCAACACACACGAACGCGCACATGACCAATGAGGGCACGAGATAAGTTTGTGCACAGATGGAAGGCTGACAGGCAGGTAGGCCATCCAGTTACTTTAGCCGGGCCGGCTAAAATGATTGGTCGTGCTTTTTACAGCGCCACGGCTTCCACAGATGACATTTTTTGATGTGTTTATTGTCAAAGCATTTAATATATTCATTGCTATCGGGATGTTAAGAGCATTCCATGGAATATAACAAAAAGTGTTTCTGAAGTGAATTACATACCCCACCTTTAAGCAATCTAATTTACTAAAAGGGGGCAGCATGTTGTACAACAATTTGAGTAAACATAGATGGCTAGGTCAGTAACATCGCCTCTCTTGTGTAAAATGTGGGATCGGATGATCAGACAGCGAGATAATTAGCAGCCTTAGTGCATTGCTTCATGTGCCAACAAGGAAACTGTAATGATGAATATGGCACACACATAACTTTAGTTGAGTCACAAAGAATGGTATCCATAATGTTCTGGCATGTGCAGCAAAACCATTAGATGTAAACTGGGTGAATACATCTAATGGAGGAGAGCCATAGTGGCTGCTTTGAGTAATCTATGCACAGTGAGCCCAAATTATTTTAAGATGCTGTTATAAAACATATTTTCACTAGAAAAAAACACATTTATACTATACATGTCAACTAAAAGATACAGCCCATTATATCAATATCAGCAAAACAGGAAAGATGCATCGTAATGTGGTCGAAATGATAGAAAAAAATATACTAATACTGGGAAAAGCCAGTACTAGTGTTGAAGCTTGACATCTGGAAATGACCAATTACAGATATTCCGAGTATAAATATTGTCAAAAAAGCAATTGCATTCACATATGCATTCTGATTGTTCACCTGCTTTGTTACAGGAACCATTTTAGATTGTTGCATAAGACTCAGAACATGTGTTTCCATAGCAACAACATTTTGATGAATGTATCAGCCAGTTCTGATTAACATTCTAAATGTAATGTACTGTACCCACACACAACGGTGCGTTTCTACATGCCAAACTAATGAGAAGGCTATGGATGCAATGTTAGGCATGCAACAGAAAAACATACCAGTGCAATTTCAAATATACATTTGACATTATATGCAATTCAATGTCTGTCCATCACATGTGATACCAGTTGCCTAATCCATTGAAATTCACAAACCACTCTTGCAGGTTCAAAACAGTACCAGACATTTTGGCAGAAATCCAGCTTACACGCAGTCCTCTGACACAGCCAACACAAACTGGTGCAGCAGTGACCCCTTGGCAAGGGC